CAGCGAGTGCGCAGCAGTGGGTGGTGCTGAGGCAATGGACGATCCTGCGTCCCATGGACTGTTAGATAAGTCAACATGTGTGTGGTCAAAGTCAACATGTGTGTGTTTGGAAAGGGAGAGTGTTAATGAAGTTGTAACAGTGATATATGTAGGGTTGAGCTCCTTTGGAGAGTCGTTGGGGGCACATCTTAGTTGCGCTCCTTTGGAGAGTCTTTGCGGGCAGGTCTTTACTTGTGCAGCAAGTTGTGCTCCTTTGGAGAGTCTTTGGGGGCAGGTCTTTACTTGTGCAGCAAGTTGTGCTCCTTTGGGCAGTCTTTGGGGGCAGGTCTTTAGAGGAAGAACAGCTGGTACATCATCCAACTAAGCAAGAGAGGGGAATGAAAAGAAATGGAGGTGAACTATGTTATAATTGTGTTATTGTCAACGGCTACAGTACGTGGGGAAGTAGTTTGTGTTGTCAGTTGTCAATGCTCTTGTCGACACTGTTTGGCATGTTTCAGGAAATAGTTGTTGATCTATGTAAGTCCTTGTCTTGTCCATCTTTTTTTTTTTTTTTTTTTTTTGAGCTGGGTTATCCACTTGTTGCCTGGTCCTCGGTTTGGTTTGCTGAGCACGTGGATAGTGGACGAGGGGCGCTGTCAGCACTTGGGAGAATCAGATCATACTGTGGTTGGCATGCTGATTCGTTCCTCCTTGAACTTTATGCTTCTGCTTCCCCTTGACGAGGGGGAGTTAAATGCCACATGTCTGTAGGGTGTCCTCGATGAGAGCCAACAACGAAGGCTTTCAGCAGCCTGCCACCTACCAGATCCCAAAACGTACAGCCATCGCTCTGTCTCTTATACACATCTAGATGTGTATAAGAGACAGCGGTGCACCTCGTGGCGCCATGCGGCCAAATCGTTTTTGCGGTCTAATCACCACATGGTTGAATTGCTTTTGCCACGCAGAGCATCAGCAGGGCCAACAAAATTATCTGGCTCTGGTGCCACATGGCGTTCCAAGTATTTTTGGGTTGCAGTGGTGCCTGTGGCTCACAACAGCTTGGGCCGCCACAAGGCCTGTTCACCCATCAGCGGTCCCTCACGAGACAGGCCTCTCCTAAGGATGCCTCCAAGCCGGGCCAACCAGTCTCTGATTGGGCCTCCCGACACACCCAGGTCAGGGGGTACTCCTTGGGCAGGGCAGGCTGCATGAGGTGCAGCCAGTTTTTCCTTTGTAGAGGAGGAGGAATCACGGCCGTCAGCCGGCGAGGCAGAACAATGGATGTCATTCGCAACCAGTTACCACTTTTTAACACTGGCCATGTGATTCGCAACAGCAGTGTTTGGTGCATAGAGAATCGACGACCGGGGTCTCTTTATTATTATTTAATTAATTTGACAAAGAATCCCTACCGGCCTGGTCTAAACCGCAAGTACACGGCCCCAGCCTTGCAGAAAGCTTTTGTCGCCACACGCAAAACTCGGAGGGGCCGCGTGGCGTGGGGTGCCATTGAAAACAAAAATTGGCCGCCTCCGAAGTGGTGCAGGCTTCATGCTGACACCCGCGGGCCAATGTATGGCGTACTGGTGCTTTAACGGAACTTTAACCTGTACCACTTAGCCCTGGCAGGCCTTGTGAGGGGCGATCTATTTTTATCCTTCAGTAGAAATCACAGACGTCGGTTGACGAGGGAACTCTACACCCTCTACAAGGCACTTGTACCCTGGAGACTATTGGGAAGGTTCTTCTATTTGAGAACTGACCATCAGACACTCAAGTGGATCAAGACAACCTGTTCTCTCTGATGCACTCAAAACGCTGGATTGAGGTCATAGATCAGTATGACTTCAAGCTAGACTACGTGAAGGGAGAATACAACAAGGTTGCTGATGCGCTGTCACGTAGGGCAGACTACCTGGGTGCGCTAATAACTGAGTTTGGCTTATCTAATGATGTAACTCGATCGATGGTGGAAGCCTACAAGGAAGACCCTGTCATGATGGACATCATACGCAAACTTGAGGCCCAAGACAAGGCCACATCTGATGAGTTTGTGAATGGTGGATGGGTTACTCTTCCTTGAGAAGGCAGGGTTTAAGAGATTAGTAGTCCTAGCTAGTGAGATTTTGCGTAGTTTGTTTTTAGGAGAGTGTCATGATGCAATGGTTCATTTTGGCTATAAGAAGACTAGTGCAAATCTGGTACAACGATTTTGTTGTCCTGGTACGCTAGACGAAGCCAAACAGTGCGACCAGACTTGTCAAGTCTGCCAGTGGGACAAGCCACAGACTCGAGCTCCATTTGGGTTACCCAAGCCTCTACCCATTCCTGGTTACTCAAGCCTCTACCCATTCCTGCTGGTCCGGGACAAAGTTTTTCCATGGATTTCATGGATACCCTCATGACCAGCAAGGGTGGCAAGAGGCATATCTTCGTCATAGTTGATAGGTTTGCTAAGTACGCTAGACTGATCGCCATGCCGGAGACCGCAAGGACTGAGCACGTCATCAAGTTATTCATGGATAACTGGGTGCGTGACTTTGGACTGACGAAGACTATCGTTAGTGACAGAGATGTCCGTTTCACAAGTGAAATGTGGAAGAAGACTGCAGAACAGATGAGCGGCCAACTCCAGACGACTTGTGGGAATCATCCCGAAGCCAATGGGCAAGCTAAACAGATGAACCGAGTGGTGCAGCATCTGCTGAGGCATTACATAAAGCCCAGCCAAGATGACTGGGATGAGAAGTTACCTCTCTGTTGAGCCATTACATAAAGCCCAGCCAAGATGACTGGGATGAGAAGTTACCTCTCATCGCCAGCCTGTACAACAATGTTGTGCACAACACCATTGCTGTCAGTCTGAATCAGCTGCGTCTGGGATGGAAGCCTAGATCTGCTCTAGACTTTTGCCTTCCTGAAAACCGACCTGCTCCGACTCCTGGAACCATCAAGTTTGGTGTCCAGTATGAAAAGTTGCTACAGCAAGTTGTCGAACACATCAAGAAACCTCAAGAAGCAATGATTGCTTCTGAATTTCTGAGAACAAACATCACCGACAGTCCACATTTCAGGTAGGGGAACGTGTCTGGGTTAAGTCTAGTGAGTTAGGGCAAGAATTCGGCATCTCTAGGAAACTAATGCCTCAATACTTTGGTCCTTGGGAAGTCCTGGATATTGTGGGTAGTGAAGAGGATGGTCCCTCGTATATGATCCAAATCCCTGGTCACCTCCGCACTTACCCTTCCATGCCTGAAAGCTTGCACCTTTCAATGAGACACAGGTCAGTTCCCATGAAGGAGATCTATGCTGCCCCCAACCATGGATGGCCACGTGGACGTCGACAACATTTTGGAACACAGAGACATGCCTGTTCCTAAGCCTGTCGGCAGAGGAAGACCGCCGAAACCCAAGAGGGAATACAGGGTCAGATTCAAGCATCATACGGATCCAAAAGAAGACCGATGGTTCACCAGAGAGGAAGTAATTGAGACAACACGTCAGATTGTAGCAGACTAGGTGCCTGCATACAAGCATCTCAGCGGACTTTCAAAGCTAAGGGGGATGGAATGTGAGGACTGTGTCCTCAGGGGGGCCTAGGCAACGTGCATATGTTCTGGAATGTGGCCCCCAGCCAGCCTCGTGGCCGGCCTAAGTGAAGGCGGGCCTGAATATTCCCGAGGGGCCCTTATCTCAGCATTTTCCAATACGGTTCTCAGACAGTTGCTGCACGACGGTTGGTTGAAGTACGACCTGAGCCTTATCCTGGGCTTTTCCAGAAGTAGCAACTGCGCCAGGCAGTTGAGCCCAGGGCTTGGGTGGTTGTCTCCTGGGCACACACATTGTGAGGCCGATACATCACGAAGTGGCCACGGGCCTACAAGAAAGCAGCATTGTCGTTGTACCTGCCCCGGGGGCCAGTGCAAATGCAGCAAACAGTCGAAGTCTGAAAAATCCTGGGTGTGCCCAACTGTAAAGGGCCCAGGCCCTCAACTGCGGACATGGGCCTGGGCGCAGACACTGGGGCCCGACCAGAGGCTACTGGACACTTCCGCGGTCAGGCCCAGGGAGTCCAGCTGCGGCTGCCACTTCCATATAGAATGCCAGCCAGCCAGCCAGGGGGAGGCATTCTAGCCTATGCAGGCAATGTGGACACACTGCTGTGCTCGCGTGCAAGTGTCTGCGTTGCACAGCTGCTGGCTGTGAGGCAGGTGAAGGGCGACAGGGGGTCTTCGGAAGGAGGCGCAGAGAGTGGGTGGACAGGGGATGATGAGGGAGACGTGAGTACACACCTTGTGTATGTGGAGAGGTCGGCATTGATGTTGATGACATGTACAATGGTCTTCAAAGTCGAAGTGAGCCTGTTGCGTGAACGTAGGTAGGCTAGGTAGGACAAGTAGGGTAGGTTGGGCGCTGGGCGCCAGACAGAGAGGAGAGACATTGAATACTGCGTTGGTGTGGCCTGAGGGCTGGGACATTGGCTCACGAGTTCATTGTATTGCTCTTATTTGGATGGCATCTTGGTGCATTGGAGCTCTCTGCTTGGTACATGACTATCTGGACTTCTGTGTGATTTTCCAACTTGGTTTTTTGTATATCGCTCTCGCTCATATTCCTTGCAGTAGTGAGTAGTGGAGCGAGGCGAAGCGGTGTTTAGGGCCTCGCTCCACTACTAACTACATGCACAAAATACAAAAAATGTGGCAGTGTATGTTCCCATGTTCTAGCGGAAGATTCGTTCTCATTTTTGAAACGGTTTCACCCAGTTGACCTGGTACTGCAGTCACAGAGATTCGATCCCTAGACCTGTGCCCTAACCCTGTACATCGATCCTGTGTGCTGAGTGAGATTCGATCCCTAGACCTACCCTGTACCTGTACATAGACCCCGTGACCTGAGTAGGATTCGATCCCCAAACCTGTCCTGCGGCTTAGGTTAGTCTGTAGTTTGGCTAGTAGGACTTGATCCCTAGGTCTGTAGATTAGCAGCTAGGTCGTTTACCATTAGGCCTAGAGAGTCTGTTCTAGAAGTCTCTACTGAGTCTGTCGAAAGTCTGTAGAGTCTGTAGGTTCTAGAAGTCGGAAGGGTTCTGTAGGGTGGTCCAGCCAGTATGTACCTGGGTAAGGGCTGCATGCGGGGAAGGTTCTGGAGCACGCAGAGAGTTCCACTCGTTTTGGCCCAGAAGGCCAAACGTCTGGAAGCTTCCCTGGGCCACACGTTTTGACCCAGGCCCACAGGTCTGGAGGCAGGGTCCGGGTACCTCCGAAGAAGTATAAATAAACAGGCAGCGTCCAGCCATTCATTCATTCGCCTGTGAGCCATGCGGAAGAGCTGCCTTGGTGTCTTGTGCATGGAGGTCTGCAGGTGCCTGGAGACGAAGTGGGCAGTGAAGAAGACAGCGGCCATAGCTGGCCAGTGGGGTAGACGTCGGCGGCCATAGCTAGCAGGAGGAAGACGACGGCGGCCGTAGCCGCCCAGCTGTTGGTGAAGACAAGTGTTCAGAGTGTGTTGAGTGGGGACATTCAGGGTGGTCCTCGTACGTGCACGCATGAGACAGTGAGGGAGAGAGTGAGGCTGGTGGTAGAGACAGTGTTCGGCGGCCATAGCCGCAAGTTGTGCAGTTGTTCAGATTGAGTTTAAGACGAGTTCGTTGTTGTTTTTGAGTTGAAAGAGTTAAGTTTTGCCATCGGTTCTCAAGTGTGCATGTTGTGAGCAATTCCAGAGTTGAGTCTGATTGCAATTTTGCACATTTAGTGAGTAGTGAAGCGAGGCCCTTGGTCTTAGTTTTTACCTCTGCCGAGCTGCTGAATCCGTGCCATTTCTTCCCAGGATCTGAGCTCAGTGTGCTTTTTTTTTTGGGTGCGTGTCTATGGCCTGAAATCAGATGGCAGAGGAGGAGGGGGGTAGGAGGATGACATGGTGCGAATGGGAGGAGGAGGAGCCGGAAATCAGATGGCAGAGGAAGAAGGGGGTAGGAGGGTGATATGGTGCGAATGGGAG